ATGCAGTACCTACTGAGTAGTAGGCGGTTTCGGACGCAGCCATGGTCTTTAGGCTTAACAGCTGTTGGTGTCGTTAATCTGGCAACCTGCGCTTGCATTCATTTTGAATCAGGTGTGCAATACCACTGGGAAACCGGCGTGACAGCGGCTGCGGATGCCATATGCCCCAGGAGCCTCTGAAAAAATTTCAGTGGGACCACTATTTTGCTGTTAAGCTCTCTCAGACAGTTCAGCATCAGCTGAGCGTGCTCTCCGGAGAGGCGCGCTGTCATGGTGACCGAGTCCAGCTCCAGCCTGAGAAAAGAGATCCTCTGCACTGGGGCGAATTTGCTCTTTTCTCGGTTGACCTGAAGCCCCAACAGGTGGAGGTGCCAGAGCACCTTGTCTCTGTGCATAATCATTTGCTTCTGACCCGCGGAGACAGAGAGAGCCCAAAGGGGAGGACTTTGTATTGCCAAGCTCAACCTTCGAATGCAAACCGCAGAAACTGACGGTGGCGGGGAAGAATGGTTACATGAAAATATGCGTCCTTTAGGTCTATTGCTGCAAACCAATCTCGAGGACGAATGCAGGAGGATGCGCCTCTGCGTGAGCATTCTGAACGGCAGCTTGTGCAGACAACGGTTCAAAATGGCCAGATCTAGGATTGGCCATGACTCACCTCTCTTCTTGGGTACGATAAAGTACTGACTGTAAAACCCGCTCTCCATCTCGGCTGGAGGGACCGGCTTAATTGCATCCTTTGCCAGGAGGACAGCAATCTCCTCTCGCAAGACAGGGGCGGACAGGGGGCTGACCCTGGTGAAATACACACCCGTGAACTTGGGGGCCGTTTTGGGAACTGGATCGCATAACCGAGTCTGATTGTGTGTATGAGCCACCGCGAAGGGCTGGCCCAAGCTAACCAGGCAGGCAGAGCTCTCGCTAATGGACTGATCACTACAATCGCTGATGTACCAGCAGTGGGGCAGCGTGGAGTGGGTGTGCTGATCCAGGAAGTGCGAGGGTCCTGCGGAAGAGCTGGGGGCGAGAGATTCGCTCTCACTCTGCACCCCAACTCCAGAGAGGGGGCTCGAGGGGTGGGGGAAAGGAGACCATCCCCCCAGCGCTCGTGAGCCACTGGCGAAGCGCACAGAGCCTGCAAGCTGGGAAACAGAGCGTCTCGGACTGGCAGGGTTCGTGCTGTCACACCTGGGGAAGCGGAAAAGTGCTCTTTCATTGATGTTTTCGTGGCACTGAAAAGTCTCAGGGACGCTTCGCAGTCTGTTTACAGCACTTAACGGCGCCCTGGGCAGGGGGCCGTTAAGTGCTGTAAACAGACTGCGAAGCGTCCCTCACCAGAGAAAGGTGCCCTCCAAGACTGCGAGAGCCTACTGTGCACTTCCGAGAAGAAGGGGACGAGAAGCTATGAAGGCTTCGCCCTCTGGTCCTCTACGCAGCACCCATCTAGTTGGTCCTAAACCATCTCAAACCCCACGGCCGAAGCAGCCCGGGAAAGCACGGCTAAAATGTCCGTTTCAGGATCCGTCTTGACAGCGCTCATCTGCTCTGAGAGGGCGAGCGGGTCTGAATCATCATCGGACAATGAAAGCCCACCCTCCGATGCCGCAGTGGACGTCTGGTCTCCGGTGTCATCGAGCATAAGGGCTACCATCTGGTTAGACGCCCGCCCGAAGCTTGGATGGAGTGCTTGGAGGAGCGGGAGATTCGCGGGTCCGTGGGCGATGGATTATCTCCCGCTGAAACCCTCAGATCTGCCCGAGTGCCCGCTGCAGTGCAGGGGACAGCTGGGGTGGTTCGTCCCTTCACAAGGGCTAGCCGCGTTCTCAATTGCGCAACAGTCATGGCATCGCAATGACGACATGAACTGCCCGCGAGCACCGAATTAACATGTTGGACCCCCAAACATGCAACGCAGTGATCGTGCCCATCATCCGGAGACAAGAAACCACCGCATCCAGAAACGCACAGTTGGAGCGCCAACCTAAAAAATACGTTTTGCACGTCTGTGTTGCTCTTTTAGGAAATAAGCAACTATACGCACCGCTCTGGAGGACCGGACCCAAAGAACGCCAGGCAAGGGAGAATCCCAGCTTGACCGTCTGCCGCCACGTGTTCCTTTTCTGGACCGGGAGAACTCTCGTTCGCTCAAATTGCTGATAATAGCAGGAGGAACCCTCATCGACTCTCTCAGAAGGCTGTAAAGTCTCTGAAGCGAAAAGGATGGCGTTTCCCTGCTTCCCCTGTGCTTAAATGAAGAGCTAATTGGCAATAAGGCACACATGCGCAAGCTTATGTTACCAATTCATTGGCATTTCATTAGCCCGTTGTATGCTCTTTCAGACGATTGGCTTTCTGAAACGAAATCCCCATTCGTGGAATAATGAATAAATCCACCAATAGCATTTCCGTTCCCCATCCAAAGGGGAAACAAAAAAAACTGACAACATACTTTTTTGTTTTGATATGGCAGAGAACAACTTTAAAAGTTATGTGCCACCATGTCCCCGTTTTATCATGGCTGGTGACTTACATGATTTGTGTTTAGAGTGTTTGGGAGAGGAGCATGCCCTGGCAGCATTTGAGAATGCTGACTGTGGACACTGTGATTATCTCTCCCGCAAGGTGCTGCATAGTCAGAGGGAGTTCTCTAATAAAACTCCCGTGACGTGCGCTCCTCGCAATTTGGGTCCCTCTCGTGCTGAGGCTGAGCGTAGACTTTGGTCGTGGGGTTCGCAGCTAGATCTGGCGGCTGAGATGGATGATGGAAGCTGTCCTTTCTCTTTCTGTATGTGTGAGATCTAGTCCTCCCTCGGGAGCATCAGAAGCACGCTCTGCAGTTACTTCTGCGCTAGTGGGAGGGCAGCGTCCTCCGTTTCCGAGGAAACAGATGCACCGCTGCAGCAAATGCAAAGAGGGTCGGGGACTGCCGCCCCAGTCAGTGGAATATGAGGAGTTAGTGAAGGTGATTTCACGTGCTGCTGACAGGTTTGATGTAATAGACTGGCAACCAGCACGTGAGCAGCAGCAGCTGGGTCTTACAGGAATGCTGGATGAGAGAGAATTACCTAGCAGAGTAGATCCTCCACTGAGGGACCTCCCCTTTTGTCCAAAACTACATGATGCTGATTAGCTGATGGAAAAATCCATATTCAGCACGTTTATGACACCAAAAATGGTTATTTATTCAGCAGTTTGTGGGCTGGGGGAAAAAGCATGTACAGAAATGCCTATAATAGAAGAGGATTTAGCACGTCATATTCATCCAGATTAAAAATCTGCAAGGGTCCCTCCTTTGTCGTCCAGACCACTAAGAGTAACATCGGCTCTTGTCGGCAAAGCATTTATGATGGCTGGTCAGTCTATTTTAGTGTTGCAGGCATATCAGGCTGACCTAATTAAAGAGTGCTTAGACGATGGGGGAGCGACACCTGAACAGCTTCGAGAAGCTCTTCAGGCGTCGGGTTTAGCTCTGGGACTGGATGCCATGGTGCAGACGTGGCCGAGGCTACGAGTCTGTATGCTTATCCCCTGGTCGCTCTGCTCCCAGGAGTCCTGGAGAGGGTCCGTCAACAATCCAGTTACTTCTGGTAGCCCCATTTTGGCCTACGAGCTCCAGGGGTCCCTCCACAAGTAAGCTTTATGCCCTAAAATGGGGTCTTGTTTCAGCTTGGTGCAGAGAACACCAGCTGAGCCCAGTCAGCTGTCAGGTAGCCTCAGTGCTGGAATTTCTCCAAGATCGCCTGTCTGCTGGGTTAGCTGCTTCCACTCTGAGAGTGTACGTGTCAGCCATAGTGGCTTACCGTTCCCCCCTAGATGATGAGTCACTGAGACAGGATCCGCTAATTCGTCGCTTCTTTCGTAAAGGCCTGTCAGCACACACAGGGTACCGACATGGGATTTAACATTTGTGCTCAAGGGCATCTCTGTTCCCCCATCTGAGCCACAGCAGGAGGCATCATATAAGTTTCTGACACTAAAATCTGCTTTTTTATTAGCTATTTCTTCCCTAAAAAGGGTTGGTGTCCGCCAGGCTTTGTCGGTTGCACCTTCATTTCTGGAGTTTTCTCCAGGTATGTCTAAAGCCTTTCTTTATCCTAGACTGGGGTATGTGCCAAAGGTGCCCACTCATGTGCCGAGACCTGCTGTGCTGCAGGCCTTTAATCCGCTCCCATTTCAGTCGTCGAACCAAGAGAAATTAAATTTACTCTGCCCAGTTAGGTCTCTGAATACATATGTTAACCGGGTTATCAACTGGAGAAAGAGAGAACAGTTACTGGTCTGCTTTGGACCCTCAAAGAGGGGGAGTCTGGTGAATAAGCAGACAATAAGTAATTGGATAGTTGAGACTATCTCAATTATCTATCATGCTGCTGGACATCCCGCACCTAAATTTGTTAAGGCCCAAATTGTTTCTGGCTCTCACATTTGTTTGGCGGCAGGATGGTCAAAACCACATACATTTGTGTGTCACAATCAACTCGATGTAGACCCCTCACCAGGGTCCTCTGTTCTCACTGCGTAGTGTGCGTTCACAGTCAGCAGTGAGTCTGGCCTAGTGGGTATTGTGTTCCCCTAGCGTTCTGGTTGGACGCAGCATTGAAGTTCCCTAGATGGAGAACGTCTCGGGTTACGTATGTAACCATAGTCCCCGAGAGGGAACGAGACACTGCGTCTTCCGCCATACTCTCTTCTGCCTGTTACTTCTTTTAAGCAAATTCGAAGTTAACACTGAATGCTCAGTGCAGGCTTTTATACTCTCTGGTCTGACAACACCTTTTAATTACATTAGATTGATTTCACATGTGCTTCAAGACATGTATAAAAGAGGTGATCCCCTAGCGTTCTGGTTGGATGCAGTGTCTCGTTCCCTCTCGGGGAACTATGGTTACATATGTGACCCGAGACATTTTTATTAAAGCAATAATTTTACTGTATGGAGCTAAATTGGGGTCAATTTTGAATTTAATCTTTAACCTTCATAAGTTCAAAAGTCTTACATTAAGATGCCCATGTGCAATGTTCTCCAAGGTGAACCTCTCGACCCTTTTGAGTCTCTCATGAAACATTATCGATCCTCGGTTGGACCTCAGTTTAAGCTCCTCCATCATTAGATCCTGAGGAACACAGATCTTCTTTCCCAGGTTCAGAGATGCTGATTTACAAAAGATTAAAAATACAATTTTACATTAATAACAGAACTACCATTTATTATTAAATTGTTAAAATGTTAGGAACTAGTACTTACAATACTATAAATTAGGGTAACACTTTACAGTAAGGTTTATTAGTTAATGCATTTACTAACATGAACTAATCATGAACAACACATGCAGCATTTATTAATGATAATTGAACATTTACTAATGCATTATTAACATTCAAGTCCATGCTTGTTAACATTAGTTAATGCACCATGAGTTAACGAACTAATAATGAACTACTGTATTTTCATTAACTAACGTTAACTAACATAAACAAATACAGTAGTAAATGTATTGTTCATTGTTTGTTCATCTTAGTAAATGCATTAATTAACATTAACTAATGAACCTTATTGTAAAGTGTGACCTAAATTAGTAATAACTTCACATTTCATGTTAAAGACACAGGATTTAACCATTGTGTACTGTTTAAATTTACAACCCCTTTGTTATATTTGTGCTTGTTTTTGCCTCATTGACTACCATTATAATGACATTTTTTTTTGTAAAAATTAAAGCTTTTACTTTATCCCGAAAGGGAAAACCAACAAACATTAAGAATGCATGATTATATGCTGTCATGTCTTTGCAATCAAAAAAGTTTGTTATAATGGAAATAAATGGGGCAAAATGCAGCCACCAACATAAGTGGTGGTAAAAAAAGGGTTGTCAATTTTAGTTCTGGTTAGGGTGTTGTTAAAAAAAAAAAAATTAAAAGCATTTTCTGAAAATATGTGTCAAAATAGGTTTTGACCCCAAAAATCATTCTATTTGCTGAAACAGAGTAAGTTGTGGCAAAACTAATACTCAAAATCACATAAGAGTGGATGAAAACATCCCTTACAGCACACACAAAGGGGTTAAAAAATGTTTACGTTTTATCTAATTAAATACCATCATTCATAATTATTGTCAAAAACGTTTTCTGTCCCAAATTTGACTCAAATTAAATCATTCTGTTTAAAACAGGCATCTGAGTGTAACGTCAGTCAAATACAGTTTGTTCTGTAATATTTAAGAGTATTCAAATCTTTCCCAATCAGGCATAGATGAGTCATGGTCTCCTGGAGTAAAGCATTTAGTCTCCTGCCATCATGTTACATTACAAATACTCTTACTGTTTTGGGAACCCAGTCAAAACAGGTGAGAAGTGCCAGAACAGAAAATGAAAATTTGGCTGTCTGCTTTCACTTAGGCTGTTCAGCTTTCCCCCGCACTTCATAGTGCCTTGCTTTCAAGCTGATTTCTTTGAGTCACTTATATCCATTGACATGGCATGCTGTTTATAGAAACTAGAGACTTTTTTCTCCTTCTTCTGATGTGTCTTACCTCTTTCTGTGTCCGAGCCAGGCTGCTGTTCCTCTTTTTCCCTGGATACTTCAGTATGTGGAACAGGCATGATGATGATCTAGATTAACTAACTAGCATCAAGACAAACTTTGATGTCAAATTGAGAAAATAAATGGGCCTAGCCTAAAACATTTTAGGTTGATGCAAAACAGAAATGTATGAAAATTATGAACCATGGTTTTATAACATGGTCAAACAACAATTCAGCAATGGTTTAATTGCTACATTAACCGTTTTTTAACTCTGGTGTTTGTAGTAAAACTGGTAGCATAATGCATACTGCTAACATATTTTAGCATCTTTTAATCACACTGCTAATATGTTTATCACATACGCTCACATACGCTTGTTTCTAACTTGATTTACCATACAGCAAATGTTTCTTAAATAACTAAATCATTTAGCAAACAAGTTGCTAGCATTTTTAAGTCACCTACACTTTAACAAAATGCTAACAAGCTATGATTTAACAGATTGCTAGAAGGTTTCTAAACTGACTTAATTTAGCCAGAATGTTGTATCATGTGGGTAGCATGTTTTCCATCACCAAAATGAACCATTTTAATACAATTAAAATAAAGCAAAAAACATGGTTACAAGTAAACAATTCTAACCACAATCAAGGAAGCAAGCAAGGTCAAAAACACTTTCATTGTATTATAATATGCTTTTATCTTCACCTAATGATCCCAGCGACTCCAATATGATTCATTCAGTAATTCATTTGTTCCCAAACCCCTCCCTAGCTGGATGCTAATCTGCACTGATTGTATGTTGTGATTGGTCGACTGCATTCAGCGTGAGACAGAGGCTGTGTCTGAAATTACTCAGTAGGTACTGCATTTAAATTTAAACGTACTACTCGGCCGTTAGAAAAGTACATTCTATACAGTATGAATGCAGTGGCGCAGTAGGTAGTGCTGTCATCTCACAGCAAGAAGGTCGCTGCTTCGAACCTCGGCTCAGTTGGCGTTTCTGTGTCGAGTTTGCATGTTCTCCCTGCCTTGGCGTGGGTTTCCTCCGGCTTTCCCCCACAGTCTAAAGACATTTGGTACAGGTGAATTGGGTAAGCTAAATTGTCCGTAGTGTGTGTGTGGATGTTTCCCAGGGATAGGTTGCGGCTGGAAGGGCATACGCTGCGTAAAAACTTGCTGAATAAGTTGGTCATTTTTTTCCGCTGTGGCGACCCCGGATCAATAAAAGGACTAAGCCGACAAGAAAATAAATGAATGAATGAATAGAATTCGGGCGTACTACATCCACCATTTTGTCATGGTCACGTGACCTACCTGCGTCAGTTGCATCGCTTCACTCCCATTCATGATTTCTCTGGTGGGGCATCAGGGAATAGCGCAGCCTGCATAGGATGCACACTTCAGAATTTCGCCGTAAGTAGTAAGTCATCCGGGTACTTCTTGCATACTAGTTTTAGAATTCTTTGAATTCGGACATACTACCTGGCTCGCATACTGATTTTGGCCCACTGTATAGTGTGAAAGTATGCGGTTTTGGATGCAGCCAGAGAGAAATGCCCAGCACAGCTTATCAACAAGTAGTAAGAAAGAGTGTACGAGTTTAACACCAGCATATTGCTCTATTTTTAACTTTAAATCCGTAACCAAAGCAACGTGTCACATTTTCAACGTGGCATTACGCAACATGAGAATATGAAGAGTTAACCATATACAGTACAAGTGGTTAAGTAATAAAACACAATTAATACATAATTTGCAAGCTAGATAAAACAAGAGGTAGAGATCTATGCGAGACTAAATTTTGAATCCCGCTCCAGCCGGGTTTTAGCCCGAACCCCACCGCTCCCGCTTATATTCATCATTTGTTGTCCTGCTGCCCGACCCACCCGTTTTCTACCTGCCACGCCCGATCCCGCTAAAGAGCGGGGGAGAACAAAACCGAAAACCACCCAACTATACAGAGGCCAGACAGCCTATAACAAGCAGTCAGTATAAACACACACACACACACACACACACACACACACACACAGACAAAGGTCTCTCTCTCTCTCATTCGCACACACACACACACACACACACAGCAACTAACAAGCTAAACACAGCATCGTGCTGTTTCATTCACACACATACTTACGCGTGCTCACTCGCTTGGGAGTCGGGAGCGATATTGCTAGACGGCCCGCTCCCGTCCCAAATTAAACCCATTACCGACCGCTCCCAGGCTTTATTCGGAAATTTATTCCCGCGCCGCAGAAATCTTATCGGGTCCTGCAGGACAGCTGCGGGAATGCAGACCTCTACAAAGAGGCAACTATTTTAATCGCACTTACACTTGTGAAATGGAGGAAGAAATTGATCCATGAACTGTGTACTGTAAAATTCCTGTCAAGCTCTGACAAAGTCCCATACATCAATAGTCTTTTCTGATCCTTCCTTTAACAAACAGCGGATGAATTTCCTGTTGTAAGTGTGCAGATTGCTGAAGCACAAGGCTGGAGCTATAATGCTGAGGTATTTTTTGCAAAATATAAACTTCAACCACTGACTCTTCACTGCCTCATCTTTGGGTAGGGAATCTTTCCTTCACACTTCAGAGCACAGCTTCTATGCGACTTGATTGAACCGGGATCTGTTACAGTGTTTGTCTTCCTCTTTTTCTATCTACAGTGTTTGTGGGCAGGGCCAGGAGGTTCAACTTTCCCGGGTCTGAGCAAGCAACAAATAAGCTGGGATTGAGCTCTGTATGGACGTCATGCTGACACGGCTAAAAATTTATCCAAGTTGCATTCATTCGAAACACTATAAGTCGATTCTTTTATAGATGAATCAATAGTTTTAAACACGGTGCACTTTCAGATTTTAGCCTCAGCTGACTTTTTTACTTTGTGCTGTGTTACACACTACATGGAAGTTCATTTAAAAAAAAATACATAATAGGGGCTCTTTAAGCATGGTTTTACTACAATTCATTTTCAAAAAATGTAATTACAATTCAGAAATGGTTTTCCTACATTAACCCTAGTTTAACCATGATATTTGTGGTAAAATTTAAATTATACAAATGTCAATCTATAACCAAAAAACACGGTTTTACATTTGTGTTTCTAGCATCATTTAAGCACACTGCTAACATGTTTAGTACATTGCCTGCATCTTAAAATGATTTAGTAAAGCAAAGGTTTCTTAAAACACTTTTAACATACAGCTATCATGTTTCTATCACAATTTAGAAAGTTGCTAGTATGTTTTAACATGTCACCAGCATTAACACAGTGCTATGTTTTACTTGTTTGTTTGAATTAATTGTTAACTAAGCATGTTTCTTATATGATTTAACAATCCCAGAACATTGTTTCATGTGGGCAGCATGTTTAATTAACACATTTACCATGTTTTTTATTTTATTTTTTTATCGTAAAACAGTTACTGTAGTATACACTTTACAATAATAAAATTGTGGTTAATTGTCCTAATCGTGACCTGGTCTTACTGGAAGAAGAGACAGTACTGTCGCAATGTGATCTCCTGGCTAAATTAATAAAGGAAATAATGGTTAACATGTTAGTACATTTATCATTCAGTGTTTTACTTTCCCAACTGGAATTCATCTGATTGGACCCTTTCTTTACATTAATATCCTTTCATTTAAAATCAGGCCTGAAAAAGTTTAGACCAGAGAACAAATAAATCTGTTTATTACAGCAAAACTTACCAATTTAAAATCTTGTCTTTGCCTTGCTGTCAGTCCCACTGATGAGCTCCGTTCTGAGGTAGAAACGGCTATGTGAGCCCACATCAGACACACCGCGTGGACCTTCTTTTCTGCCCTGTTAGATCACTGTCTTATTATAGCAAGTGAGGTGTATCTAATGGGCATGGATTAGCCTTGTGGAGCTTCAGCATCCACACTAATGAAAATTTGATCCAGTGGCTATAACACTAAGCGTGCAGACCGGTGACCGCAGAGGAAGGCAAGACTCATATCCAAGTATGTCAGTCTCTGAGATTTAACCCATTTTGGTGATGGCATTGGAGAGGGCTGCGGGGGTGATACACATTTGCATGAAAATGCAATGGAAGTTAGCACTTTTTTACCCCTCCTATTTAAATTTGTATTCTATTTTGCATTCAGTTTGGATGTTTAATTTTATAAAACAGGTTATTATTTTTAGACTAAACTATATTGTGTTGTGTAATGACTTTCATTAATGAGTAAAAATTGAATTTATATATATATATATATATATATATATATATATATATATATATATATATATATATATATATATATATATATATGTTAGTGCCGTTAAAATTAGTGCGTAAACGCATGCAATTAATTTTAAATATTTAACGCGTTTAAAAAAATAACGTAATCAACGCACTTGCAGGTTGTTTTTTTTACTTCCTGTTGTGGTCGATGTGTGTTTAACATGCAAAGAAATATGGATAAGACCAAGCAAGCACTTTTTGAAGGCAAGTTTCAGTATAAAACATTTAGTGTCACATCACCAGGCTATCCAGAGTTTCATGCAATTTCAGGTGTGTCATTTTTAACTTTCAACTTCTGTTTTAATGGAATTTGATACCGCATGGCGTACAGAAAGAAAAACCTCTGCATTTTGTGACTCGGTGGTCCTTTAAGGTAATCAAAAATCACTGCTTACATGGTCGACTCTTAATAAGAGTATTATCCTAATCATTAAAAATCTAAGTTTCGGTGTCCATGTAAGTGTAAGATGAAGTCGCGAGCTGTCAGACAGCGCATTCCTCTGCCTTTCAGCTTGAGCCCTCAAATTTGTCTGTAAGTTTGACGTGTTTCTTCCTTAAACGCAACATAAGCGTTGTTGTGTCAAAATCCTTGTGAAATACAGCCATACTTTAGAACGCTTAGTTTAAGCAAATTTGATGAATGCGATCATGCGTTTTGAATCAGAAGGGAGTCGCTCTGGCTGCCCTGTCTTGACCTGCGCATGTTTTGTGTGTGTGTGTCTGAGGCCCGTGCACAAAGTATAGACCCTTACAGGGGCAGGTGCTCAAGGCGATCACAAAGTGAAGAGCAAGTACCTCCTGAGTGGGGCACCTCAGCCAATAAGAGCAGAGGGGCAGTGGCTCTAGCCACCAGGCCAGCCCCCTGTGCTTGGCTCTGGTGTGTGTGTGTGTGTGTGTGGGTGTGTGTGTGTGTGCACAGGCGTTTCTTAGCAACAAACCTGCTTAAACGTCGTTGTCTGTAGCCACTAAATAAAAAAGTTATGAATTGTCGTGAGACTGCGTTGCACTCTCAGCTCACATCCTTCAAAAGAAAAGGGCCACATAGTCCCCTGATAATGTCAACAGACTGGACTGTCTTAGCAACTGGATGAATGTAAAGGAGGACTGAGCAAAATTGTTTCTACTTTATAATTAATGTTCTTATCTAACAGCAATTCAACTTTACAATGTGTACACTTGTTTGTATTCAATTCTTTATTGTTATTATAATTTTACATTTTCCATATCTGCAATGCCTGTATTTTGGCATTTTTTTTTGCAGTCCACTTAGTATCCAAGTATATATGGAAATATTTTTTTTCTTTATTGGCATTGATTGTTTTAAAATTCAAATGGCACTATATGCCTGTGTTTTATTTCTGTAATATTTATGGCTGTCAAGCCAGGATCTTGATGGTTTATTGTGGGTATGTTGATTACATGAAGAAATCTGTGTTACAGGTTAAACAAAAATTCTAATAAACAATTATATTTTGAATTTAAATAGTTTTTGTCTTGCATTTACATTAATTTTACATATGAAAAGCCAAAATTACAAGTTTCAGTCTTTTAAATGCAATTAATATTTTAAAGAAATGTGATTAATTATTATTTTTTTAAAAGCCGATTGACAGCATATAAAGGCTTAACTAGGTTAATTAGGTTAACTAGGCAGGTTAAAGTAATTAGGCAAGTTATTGTATAACAGTGGTTTGGTCTGTAGAATATCGAAAAAATATATAGCTTAAGGGGGCTAAAAAAATTTACCTTTAAATGTCTTTTGAAAAATTTAGAAACTGCTTTTATTCTGGCCAAAATGAAACAAATAAGACTTTCTCCAAAAGAAAAAATATCATCAGACATACTGTGAAAATTTACTTTAACATCATTTGGGAAATATTTAAAAAAGAAAAAAAATTCAAAGGGGGGCTAATAATTCTGACTTCAACTGTATATTTAATCGGTTTAATACCTACATTAGTAGGCCTATTTGTTATTAGTTCCAATGATACATCCCAGCAAGCAAAGGACAACATGATGCCAGATTGAAGTTGTACCCCAACTTCGTGGGGATGTTGCATTTTGTTTGGAAAGAAAAATTGGGTTAACGTCAGAACCCAATATCAACTAATATCATCATCTAAGGATGTTACAACTTGCCATTGACTGAACATTGCCATACCTGATGAATAAATGTCCGTATTTGATGTCAATATGACATTGGTTTAAGATGTTGGCTCAACGTTGAATTTTGGTAATTTTTGAGAGGGGTCTGGATGCACACCTGGTGCAGTGAAATCCGGGCGACCCCAGATTAATAAAAGGACTAAGCCGACAAGTAAATGAACGAATGAATGTTGATTTGGAAAAATAACACAGAATAATATAACTAGTCCAGGAGCTTGTTTGAATCACAATAGTAGTCATAATCTTAAATAACTAGGAAAAATGTGGTAACAGACTGATTTTACATAATCATATGCACATAATGCCCACACAGGAGAATCATCGAAACTACCAAATCCAGTCATACAGTCGCAAAAAAAAAAACAAAAAAAAAACATGGGTTTCAAAAATCATTGTTCAAAAAGTACAAGAGTATTTCTTATGCTGGTTTGACAACTATATAAAACCTCTGAAGAACTCTACGTGTTTCTGATATATACACAAATGCCTCATCCTTATTTTAGGCTGTAAATCTTGCTTGTGTGCATTATTTATGCCCTGGTGTGTCATATTTCTCAGAAATGTGACACTGACAGAGTGATTTACAGATTGTAAGGAAGCTTGTCTTGTATGAGAGCAACAAAAGCACTCATAGGAGATACTGAGAGGGGAAAATGATTTGTTTTGTTGCGTTTCTGCCACTCAATGTTGGCAGCCAATTTACAAACAGATGGAAGATCATTAATATCATTACAAAACGAGTTTTCCCAAGTAAATACGTTATGTGTGGTTTTTGCTAACGGAATTATCAGAGTGTTTATACAAAATGACACTTGGAAAAAAACAGATTCATTTCTTCTTATTTACAATATTGTTGCTGATCCAGTTCATGCCGTCCTGAAAGAAAAAAAAAAGTCTTCATGTAATCCTTATTTTTATATTTAAATAAATGAACACATAAATTGTTAGTGCATGTAAATGTAACAATATACATTCTATATAGTATTAAAGGCATAGTGAAAATTTACTTTTCATTTTCATTCAAGTGCTTCTAAACCTTCATGATTTTCTGTTTTTACAGTTGAACACAAAAGAAGATATGTTGAAGGATGTTGCACTCAAAAAAAATTACTTGTTCAAACTACTTATTTAAAATGAGCTGAAACAACACAATTCATGAGATTTCATTGGGACAACCTAATTTTTTGTGTTATTAACTTAATTAATTTTTGTTAGGACAACATGAATAAATTGTGTAGAACCCTGCATTTTTTACAGTGTGGAAACGGTAGCCATTGACTCCATAGTCAAGACGACAACAATAATAATAACAATTTCTTATATTTATATAGCCCTTTAAACATTTTTTGGGGGAATCTCTTTATCTTCCACCACTGTGTAGCATCCACCTGGATGATGCAATGGCAGCCATATTGCTCCAGACCCAATACCAGCTAAGTGGTCAGTTAGTTAGTTAGTTGGTTTATTTGTGTTGTGCATTTTTTACAACACAACAATGCCCAAAGTGCTGAACACAATCAATACTAATTAAAATACGCCCTACATCACATACATAACGTCTCATCCAAAAGACGGCGCTTACTGAGCGGTATAGAGTCCCCGTCACTATACTGGGGCATTAGGACCCACGCAGACCACAGGTTGAGTGCCCCTTCTGGTCTCACTAACACCACTTCCGGCAGCAACCAAGCTTTCCCATGTGGTCTCCCATCTAGGTACTGACCTGGCGCAGCCCTGCTTAGCTTCAGTGGGCAACCATGTGAGAGTTGTAAAGAGCTAGCTGCCGGCATTAAAAAGGCTCAAATGCTAAAGAACAAAGGTGCAGTTTCAGAAGCTTTTTAAAAACAGATAAAGTTGAAGCGTGTCAACTGTGTCAGATCACATTTCAGAGGTGCACAAATTAAGCCCTGCCTTCCAGGATTATATATATGTAGGAGATCTAATAAGTAAGGTGGCGCCAGACTATTTAAGGATTTTGAAACAAAAATAGTCATTTAAAAACAACCCTTGACCAAACATGCAGCCAGCCCAGAGGGAAAACAACTGGGGATATGTGTCATACTGCAAGTCCCTGTCAGAGGTTTCGAAACCGCATTTTGGGCTTATCTATTCAGGGCATACTAATACCCACATACAAAGTGTTGCAATAATAAAGTCTCCCCAATAAAAAAAGCATGATCCCCAAAATAAAAGCATGATTGATGGAGAGAAGACAATAATGATATGGGGATGGTTAGGAGGCCATGATGGACAGAGACCAGTGGGGAAATTTGGCCAGGATGCCAAAGCTGGGATTTTTAACAACCAGAGAGTCAAGAACTCAGTTTAACATCTCATGCGAAAGATGTCACTCACTGATAGTATAGTGTCCCCTTCACTATGCTGGGTCATTAGGGCCCACACAGACCACAGGTTGTGCACCCTCTGCTGGTCTCAGTAACACCACTTCCAGCAGCAAACTAGCTTTCCTGTATGATCTCCCTTCCAGGTACTGACCGGGCACATCCTTGCTTAGCTTCAGTGGGTAACCATGTGAGAGTTGCATAGAGCTAGCTGTTAGCTAAACAGGATTTGACAAAACAAAATACTATGAAAGTAAATGGCTACCAGCTAGCAACATCCTTCAGTACATCTTATTCTGTGTTGACAGCGAGAGAAACTGAGTTATGCTTGTAACAAGTGAGGGGTAAGTAAAGGATGACAGATTTTTCATTTTTGGGTGAACCACCCAGAATGTTTACTGGTTTGGTTCAATTTTGAACGTTACAAGTTTTTACAAATTAAAGCCACTACACATTTACCAACCTGTACACCCTCTCCAGAAACAGCAGAACAAGCCTGGATTTGCCATTCTCTGTCCCGGTATGTGTGCAAGTTGAGGCCTTCAGCAATTTCACTGGCCGGTGAAGCTGTGGCTAAATCCTGTTTATTGGCAAAGATGAGCAATGGCACACCTTTCAGGTTCTCCTCATCGATGAGCTCTGACAGCTCCTGAAGTAAAAGGTCAAAACAGAGGATTCAGTATGGCATAGCACCATGAATTGAACTATATGTTTTTAATGCAGAGTGAGCAGGTGTGCACATCTCCCGAAATGTGAAGCTAAAACATTTTGATCACTCCCTGCAGGCTGGCTGCAGTATAGACCATGAACCGCATTGTGTTATTTACAGTAAGTAAATACATAGCAGTCGTTAGAGTGTTTGCTAAATATCTGCTGATACTTTATTTTGATGAATTCCTGCAGTTATTCTGTTGAATACAAACAACTTTGCAACTAGTCAACTACAACCATTATAATGTTGTAAGTCTGAAAGCTTTAAATAATTGTTTACTCGAAAAAAGTTAAATTCTGTGATTAAATACTCTTATTTTGATACGATCCCCTAATCTTTCTTAATCTTTGGAACATAATTTTTTTAATGAAATCTGAGAACTATCTGATACTTCATAGGCAGTAATATTCCTGGGACATTCAAAGTCAGGAAAAGGAATAGAAAACTGTCAAAACATGTGATTTCAGTAGTTCAACTGCAATCATACAAAGCTCCAAGAACACATTTATGTGCCAAAAATAATTAAAACAGTTTTGTTTGCCAGTATTTCTGTCAGATTGGGGTTTGTGTTTAGGACAAAGGAAAACAAAGTCGTCACAAAAGGAGAGTGAACTAACCAATTCTTTTTTGCTAATACTTTTTTTCACACCTGCCAAAATTGTTAAGGTTTATTTTCATTTTGGTGCTGTTTGTTTGTTTGTTTAGACCAGCTTGATATGTGAATTCAGTACACAGTTGTTGGATTTAAACTGATCTAACGGGCAAAACTATTCCGCACTTTTGTACTAAACCAGCTGCAGGTGTGCTGCTGAGTATTATGGAATAAGGACAAGTATGTTGACAGTTTTGCCCTTAAGTAGCTTAGCCCTATGACAGGTTACTGACAAACCTAGAATTATGTGGAGGTGCAAATTCTCATAGAAATTTGGTATAACTATTCTTTAATTAATTTATTTATATATATTTTTTTACACTTCTGAGAGTAGTAAAGTGATAGAAATCCAGCTAGTATGGTGTGCAAACACTTTGTTTTGTTTGTACCTTTTAGACATTTTCTGTCATTTCTTATCTTTACACAACCAATATAATCTCACTTCAGCCACATATTTCGAAATTCTCAGGACAAGAGCAATGTAAAATCCGCCGATTCTTTCTGATATGTATTACACATTGTAAAAGTGTCTGTAAATTAGCCTTTTCTTTTTTTTCATGTTATTCACGTTATTATTTTAATTTTTCCCCATTTATGTATGCTTTTGAATTGCATTTTGGGATCTTGAGCTTTCTTCCAACACCTTTTAACCTTGTAAAGTTGGTAAAAGTGACTTTTTAAAACATTTTTAATAGTTTACAGTGATATATTGTCTATGTTTCTGTTGTATATTATGGTACAAAAAAGCTTGTAATAAGCTGCCATTGCATTTTCAGTTATTTTTCCGATTTATTTCTCTATATATTATTTATCATAGATTATATGATTTCAAAATAATAAAATGTCAATAAAAATTACTTCTGTTATTGTGAATTTTTGACAATAAGATTCAACAGAGCAGAGATCAAGCTCCCATAATGCAATTCACAATTGTAAACAGAAAAGCCTTGTGAATCAACAGTGCATATCTGAAAACATGAGTAAGGCAATGATACTGCAATAATGTAACTTGGACAAATAAGTCTGACAGCATTTAAATCCAGAGATGTATAAAGTACTAGAGACCCATACTTAAGTAAAAGTACAAGTGCTTTATCAAAAATTGACTTGAGTAGAAGTAGAAGTGCTCTTTAAGCACCATACTTAAGTGGAAGTACAAAAGTATTCAACATTTTTTGTACTTAAGTATTGCAAGTAGTTTATTTCAAAATTTACTACTCAAGTACTGAAAGTAAAAGTACAAGTATTGTGTAATGTAGTTATTAAAGAAAGCAGTCAAAATACACTAATTGTTTTGTTTATTTTAAAAATCTTTTTTGGGGTACTTGATTAAGCAGAACGAAAAGAAACAGGGCTTACGATACTGTTTTTCTCTGTAAATAGTTTATATGGTACAAGAGCTCACATCGTCAGGCCCTTTTACCAGAAAATCCCTTCACTGATGAGATAATTCAGCATGTTCACTCACATACATTCTCTCTCTCTCTCTCTCTCTCTCTCTCTCTCTCTCTCTCATACACACACACACACTGCCATGCACACACCTAAATGTACACTCTCTCCCCACTCTCACACATTCATACACTCTCACACACACAGTTCTCTCTCTATCTCTCTCTCACACACACATTTTTGTGAATTGTGGGGACATTACATAGGTTACACACACACACACACACACACACACAGACGCAAACACAGGTACAATCACACTGTTGTTTTCTCTTACTCACACATTATTCACTCTCACTCACACACACACAAACACCCACTCACACTTTGGGAGTTTTGAAGTTTGATTGGTTAATACCACAATAAACAGGAGTTCTGTCTTCTGGAAGCACTCATGAAACTAAACTAAACAAGCAAACTAAATCCTGCTTCACTAATTCACTTGATTTTGATTTTATTGTAAAAAAACAGGAAAATGTGTATATTACTGTGTTAATTGAAAATCTGAAATATTTTATGGCTTATGGCTATGATTTAGTAATAATTTTTTTTTATTATGTTTTTAATGAAATTGTTCTTACAGTTCATATTTTCTGTAGTATATTTATTAATTCTGGTACTTTTACCATAAACCAACATCTCAACCATTTGGTAGAGGCTGATATTTTAGAAATAATGTGATGTGTTGAATAAAAATGCACTGATTGTGTTAACTAGCGACATTAGGAGTTAAGAAATGCAATCAAAAAATTTCTATTGCTTTTGTCTTGGTGTGACAGTTAAAGGGTTTTTTGTAATAAAATTTTGTCGTTTAATACAGCAGTCAGATATACGAACTGTGCCCTTAATTTGACCTGCTCAAAGAAAACACTCTTTCTGGATGTATCAAACAAAACTCATGCACAGAAGACAGCACGAGCATTTACAGCTAATAAACTCATGTCAATATTATCCCGCCTGCTTATTGAGCGCTGACCGGTCTTACACGGCTATGATTGGTTATTGTCCTCAACAGAAAGGGCTTTAGAAATATAAGCGCTGTTCAGCCATGGCGGGAAGAATACGTGATTATCACAGGTAATAGACACAGTGGAGAAAACTTAATTGCACATGAGACACGCTCATGTCTGGATCCACAGCCTAACAGCTAAGAAGAGAGGAAAAGTTACCTTACAAACTGGCTAGCGGGTCAAATGTCCAAAGTGAGAGAGCGAGAGATAGGCAGAGGTGAAGTTTTACAACATTTCTCCCTAATAGTAAACTAGCGGCTGGTATGCTGTGCCGCCTCGCCCTCGCGCCTCCGTCCTTCGCCATAGTATTGCGACATCGCGCATATGAGATAAATGACGTCATCACGTAATAACCGGTTATGACCTATTACTGAACTGATATCAATCATTTTGACACCCCTAGTAACGAGTAACGATGCAGCACATAAAAAATCTATCGGAGTAAAAGTATCAAACTCATGGAAAATATGTACTTAAGTAAAAGTGGAAGTAGGAGAAAAAAATAATACTCCAGTAAAGTACAGATACTGCCTTTTAGTACTTGAGTACAGTAGTGAAGTAGTTCTACTTCGTTACTATACATCTCTGTTTAAATCACACAATTAGAGAGTAATTTATGATAAATTCATGAGTTTAAAAATAAAAAAGATCCAGTCACTCATAATACAAAGGAGGAGATCTCCTTTTAATTTTGACGATGAGTGTTTTCAGATGAGCCTTGAGACAAAAGTCTACATTACAAGTGAATGAATTTAGGGGCAGATTTCCAAAAGAAGAATATCAGATACTTTTCGGGATCAAAATGAGAAGCTGGTTGTTATAGATTGATTCTCTAAAGTCTTACCAGTCCTGTTTCCTCAAATCTCTTTTTGTCTGCACTGTCAATCACGTAGATCTAATAAATAAAAAAAAAGAGAAAGAGAAAATGAGGACTATTATGTGAGAAAAGGGGCTTTTGGCTGATACTCAGGACAGAAATGGAAATACATATATGTGTGTAAATGATTTGATAATTCTCAGTGTCATTGGGAAAGTGAACTTCAGAGTTTGCCATTAACACTATTGTCATACCAGTAAATCAGTGTTTTCTAGGTACTTCTTCCAGAAGGGGCGAATCTTCCTCTGCCCTCCAATGTCCCACACGTTCAGCTTCATGCCATCACACGTCACACTTTTAATGTTAAAACCCTGAAAGAACAAAAAAAGCAAAATATCAGTGGTTGAATGCATACTAAAAAAATCATACTCAGTAAAAGTACCATTACTTGCCTAAATATGTAGTGCAAGTAGAGTAAAAGTGTCTGTTGTAAATGTTTCTCAAAGCATAAGTAAAAAGTAGCCCTTTTAAAAGTACTCAAGTACTTAGAGGTTGTTTAAAGCCATTTCAGTCCTAACACAGACGACATTATCATCTCTTGGACTCTTTTATTGTTTCCACACTGTACATGTTTACTGCATTTACAAAGCACACAAGTCTTGAAATTTTTCTATGAGCGATTTGAATCACAGGACTTATTATTCTCTTCCAATCAAATATAAAAATATAAGTAAAGAATCAAGTAGGGACTACAGGTTGAAGGAAAAAGGGGAGGAGTAAACCTACTGATTTTGTCTAAGTACGCATTTTTAAAAGCACTTAGTAAAGTAGAATTCCTGAGATAAACGACTTAATTACAGTCATTTGGGTATTTATAATTTGTTACTTTACACCACTGTAAAAGATGCAGTTGTAAATTCATGTTTTGTAAAATTGTGTGTAATTATTAATGTTAATCTGATTTCATAATTTACAACTTTATCTCACATTATAACTAATATCTTCCTGGGTGACTTTAAATAACACAATTGTGGCTTTATATCTTTTTATTTATACCTAATTCTAACAATTATAACTGTACATTCTGTCAATAGTACTTTAAATCGTTCTTATATTACAAAAGTAAATGTAAGTTTCACGGTTATGATTTTAAATCTCACAACGGTTACTTCATGTCACACAACTGTTACTTCACAGTTGTGATTTCAACCCTGCAGGCACAGGATGTCAACATGACATGTCATATGGACATTGTAACCCAACGTTGTGGGGATGTTGGATTTTGTTTGAAAATAAAAATCGGCTTGACGTCAGAACCTAGAATCAGGTGTCCAACCTAAAATGAACCAAATATCAATGAAATTTTACATCGTTATTGGAAATCAAAATAACATAAAATAAAATTTCAATTTTACAGATTTAACTATTATTATCAAGCTTGATCTCACAAGAAAACATAAGTGTTTTACATTTTGTCAATTGAGTGGACAAAAGTCGTATGAAGATGTATAATTTTAAAAAGAAGTGTGGTACCCAACCCAGCCCCTAAACCCAACCGTCATTGGGTGGTGAGTAAATTGTACTGAATTGTACGAGTTAGCCACTAATTTAAAAAGTTATGAATTGCCGTGAGATTGTGAATTTAACTCTTAATTGAATGCAAATATTAGATACTTTGCGAAAGAATTGACTGAGGTCTGATATTCAATTTCAAATCTTACATTTGTGACGATAATTCATGATAGGCCTTACGCTTTTCAATTACAACATCATATCACACAAATTAATATTTAAGTATCCCAATGGTAACTTCATAAGTCACAATTTGACTTTAATTTCACAGTTGTGATCTCACAATTATTACTATATTTCATGACATGACAATACAAAAGTGAGTTTAAAATCTCACAATTTGACAATATAAAAACAATTCAAAATGTTGAAAAAAATCGTCTGCAATTTAAATGTACAATTTAATGTCTGTTGAATTTAAACAAGCATGTTTAAATGTTCAACTTAATTTCTTAGTTTAAATTCAACACATATAAATTGTTTACAACCACTTAACTTGAGTTAAAAAAAATCAATACAGCACCTTATAACTTATAATTTAAAAATAAATCTGTACATACAATTCAACATCCAGAGCTATTTGTCTATTTGCATCTCTGTTTAATCTTTGTCATCTTTTCTCATATTTCTAACTTTACCTCACACCTATTTTCTTATTTTTTTTTTACTATGAGGAAACATCAGATATAGCAGTTCTTATTCAACACAGACTGGGTCAAAATACTGACAAGTACACTGATAGTTGCACGATGTATTTAAACTCCTGTCTAAATTTATCCTACCCCCGAATGGCCTCCCAACTACTGAGACTTTATGGTTAAGTAATCTTTAACCGTAGGATTAAAGACAGTGTTGTGGTGCTATTCTTAGAGAGGATCTTCTCTCTGCCCACAGGCCTCGGCTCTTCAGCTTTAACTGACTGCAGCATCTAATGGCTGTTAGCAAAACACATTTTGAACAAAAAAGGGTCTCGCATTACAACCACAATTCTGGATATTTAGAAGAAATCAAGTAACTAGTAGTAAGCTATGTGGAAGTCCACTAGCATCCATGCTAAATGTTGAGTTAAATAGATTAAAATTAAACATACTCACCCTCTAGTGGTTCTTAATATCTATAAAGTTACTTTTTTTCTCCTGAACACAACACTTTGAATCATGTTGCAAAGTGGTCACCATAAAAAAAAATCCTCTCTGCTTTTTCATTTTTAGTTGAATATAATGAACTTTTCTAGTCATCTCAACTTACATCAATCAGACTGATTAAATTATAAAGTTCAACATTGAATAACTTAAAAACATGAGTTGAAACCTGATTAACTTCTTAAAATAAGATAAAGCAACATAAATATATTTGTTGTTTAGATTTTTTGTCATTAATTTTTACAGTGCATAGTTGGCAAAGAAATGCTATGGAAGTCAATGGGTACCTGTTTTCAACATTCTACATGTTCTTTTTGTGGTCAGCAGAAGAAAGAATATTTTAATTTAGACTTTTATTACTTGATATAAATGATTTTTTAACTTTTACATCAGATGTTTTTATTTTTTTCAACACTGTAAAATGGTCAATTATTTTAATCAAATCAAATGAACTTTTCTAGTCAACTCAACTCAATTCAACTGACTACACATATTTCATTAAACTTTGTATGACTTAAAAAAAAACAAGTTGAAAGCTATTAAACTTATGAAACCGTTTTAAATTAAGTTAAAGTAACATTTGTAAGAACAGTTGTTGCAATTACTTTTTTTGTTAAATTGAGACATCATGCTAATAACTAGCGCTAACCCACATGGCGCAGTGTACCTTTGACCTCTCAACAGTAAATAGAGCGGTAAACCAGACTGACCACATTTGATCCTATTAACCCAAACTTTCTTGACAGATTGAGAATAAGCCATCACGTCTGTTATTCAGTTAGTTCTTTCTAGGACATTCTAGCTGTTTCTATTAGGTTTGTCTTTTAGATGAGACCTCAACATTTAGTTTCTTTTGACATAAATTATGAGAAAATTGTTACAATTTTTTTAACCATATTCATTCATTCATTCATTTTTTTCCTTCAGCTTAGTCTCTATTTCAGAGGTTGTCACTGGCAAAATGAACCACCAACTATTCCAATATATGTTTTACACAGCAGATGCACTTCCAATGACAACCCAGTACTAGGAAACCCTCATTCACACACACAGTCATACACTACACTATAATTCACCCGTAGCACATGTCTTTAGACTCTTTAGCATCCGGAGAAAACCCACACCAACACGGGGAGAACATGCAAAAATATGTAAGCACACACACAAATGCCTATTGACCCAGCCTGGACTCTACCCAGCGACCTTCTTGCTGTGAGGCGACAGTGTTAACCACTGAGCCACCATGCTGCCCCTTTTGAACCAAATATATGTTGATATCTTTTTAACAGTGAAGGCAGGATATTAAGATTTCTGAAACAAACTACATATTAAACTATAAAAAAAATATTCAACTACAACTTTTTACGATCGAAATAAACACAATTGTGTCAAATAAACTATTTACATACTAAAAACTTATTTTTTTTATTGTATATATTTTATAATACTATAGAGTTATATATCAATTAATCAGTTTATTTTTTATTTTATTATTCTTATTTATTTCTTTAAATATACTTTTCTGTCAATTTTGGACTTATTAGACACAATGAGCTTGTTGTGTAAATGTTTTTTAAATACTGTACTTGCATGCAATTACTTCTGTGATAATTGTTAAACTTTATGCCTAGAATGGCTTTGTTGACTTTAACCTATGCCATAACCAAATCCTAAAGCTAACACAACATTTAATCTGTAATTAACCTTACCCATATTCCACCTTGATAGCAGCAAATGTGTTACAAAACATGAAGTAGGATATATAGATTACATTATTTGATGATAAATGAGCAGTACAGATGAAGAAACAACATAAAGCAGGGCCCTTTCATTCATTCATTCATTCATTCATTCATTCATTTTCGGCTTATTCCCTTTAATAATCGGTGTTCGCCACAGCGGAACGAACCGTCAACTTATACAGCATATGTTTTAAGCAGCGGATGCTCTTCCAGCTGCAGCCCATCTCTTGGAAAACAGGGCTTTTTCATTTTAATATTTTGATTTCTATACCAATTATGAATAATTCATAATAACATGTTTATCCTTTCTAAAACAAAAAACAGCCTAACACTTTGTTTATTGAAAATAATTGGCATAGCTGTGAACAAATAGGAATGAAATGAGAAATAATAACTTGAATTTTTGTTGTTTTGTTGGACAATTAATGGCACAATAAGGTCATTTTATATTATTAATATGATTTCTCAAAAAAACTGTTTATTATTCAGTCATTCATTTTCCTAAAGCTTATTTATCAGGTGTCGCCACAGCGGAATGAACCCCCATCTATTCCAGCATATGTTTTACACAGTGCATGCCCTTCCAGCCGCAACCCAGTATTGGGAAACACCCATAGGCTCTCGCATTTACACACACATTCATACACTACAGCCAATTTTGTTTATCCAATTCAAATATAATGCATGTGTTTGACTGTGGGGGAAACCAGAGCACCCAAAGGAATTCCACATGAACACAAAGAGAACATGCAAACTCCACACAGAAATGCTAACTGGCCTAGGCTAGATGGGACTCGAACCAGCAACCTTCTTGCTGTGAGGCGACATTTACTGTAATGTATTTACATTTAAATTTATATTAGAATTATAAATTTACATACACACACACACACACACACACACACACACGCGCACACACACACACACACACACACACACACACACACACACACACACACACACACACACACACACACAATTATAACCAAACTGTTACCCATAGAGTCAAAAACCTGCTTATGTTGGGGTTTTTCCACTGAATTATTTGTCCAGTCTACCTTCTTTATCACTGATTAGCCAAATTCAAACATTTTGGTGTTATGCTAGCTGAGATGAAGCTAAAATACATTATATATCCGCCAAAGAACGACTTTAGCATGATCTTTTAAAATCTGCTAATGCATTTAAACTGGTGTAACTGTTTAAGTCTTGGAGAATATTTCAGAATATATTAAATCCCACAAAATGTGTTAGCATGCCACACCAGCTAATACCTTCACGCCTTTTACATTCACAGGAAATTAGGCATAATTACTCAAAGCTTTGTCAGTTATAATAACACATAACACATTTAGGAGTTGGAGAAGCACGTCCTTGCCTACTTTTAACTAATTATTGGTTAAAACAGCAAGCACTTTTAGAGTGTACATTAGAAATGGGAAAGGATCATGGTGCATTGCTAATTATTTACAGTTGTTTCATTCACACTTTTTAAAACTACCATTTTAAGAAAAGTTCCTCTCACCTGAGTCGGTGTAATGGTGTTCACGTCTTCAGAGGCAAGTTGTTTTAACAAAGTGGTTTTTCCAGCATTATCCAGACCAAGAAGGACTATCCGAAGCTCTTGCTCTGTAGTTCCCTTTAACTTCTCGATAACTGAAAACAAACCCTTAGAAAACACACGTTTGTGCCTTAAAAGTCTGATTACTTTCAGCTACATTCCATCATGACATTAATAAACAATTCTCTGATTTTTTTTTTTTCAAAACAGGCATTTAAGCAAATCAATCTCACCTTTTGGACTTCTCCCATAGTGCTGTGAAAGTCTTGCTAAAGAAAGAGAAAGCACAGCTACATTCTATGCAGGATAAATCCAGGTGAGATTTGGGTTTGTTATTGGGTTCTCTTCCCTCAAAACGATTTACTTCACACGTTGCCTGTTCTCTATGTGTCTGGCCTCCCTCATATGTAACATGGGCAGGATGTGGAGGTGGGTGAAGGTGGAGGAGGGGTTGGATTAACAGGCCACAATTAGCAATCACTCCGCCCGCCCATCTCCCTTCCACTCGTCTCCTCCAGCACATCTCTAGCATTAAAGACTTACCTGGATTATCCTTAACCACCAGCTGCTTCAGGACAGGCCTCTGACACTCTCTCTTTGTGCTCTCTTATATGCTTCTAGTCCTCACATATGCAAGCTTGACTGCTCTTCACACTACAATAGATGCGTTATCAGTACAAATCTAACAGAACTTTTCAGTATTTTGTAAATGACGATTAGTGCTATGCGACTAACACTTTACCTATCTCCAAAAATCGAATATGATATATGTAGGTTTATTGAAACTGCAAGGAAAATAATATAACCCTATTTTTAAAGAATGCACATGTGAATTGACACATTGTTATAATCCATGTTGCCCTGGTCCTATGTTTTGCTTTGCTCCCTGTTCTCCTTGTGTTTTCAAGGTGCTGCACCCTTGTTGAACTCTCTGTCGCCTCAGACACTCATTGCTTCCACCCTCTGGTTATTTCATCAATCCTTTGGCTGCTCTTTGTACTTAAGTCCTGCTATTTTCAGTTTTTCTGTTTTGTACTTTGGTTAATAAGTGTGTTGTAGCTGCATCTTGCCTGCAAAATCAATAGAATGACTGACCAAATTTGGATCCAGCTGTTTGTCTTGGCCAAGAAACAAAAACCATTGAAGACCAAATTTGTAAGTTTCTAGACATTGCTAATTACTCTGACATCCCAGACTTTTTTCTATCACATGCTCAATGAACCATTAAAATCCATCCTAGTCTTTATTGGTCAAATGAGGTTGGGCATAGCTCTTCTCGTTAATAGTTCCTCCTTCAAATCTTGGAAAGAGGGAGGAGGAATGTTCTAAATATTTGTTGGGGAGGCAATAACCAGTAAGGACCGAAGGCCTTGGGATATGCATATGTATATCAGTTTGTCTTGGCCAAGAATCAAAAAACATTAAGGACCAAATTTGTAAGTTTCTGGACATTACTAATTACTCTGACACCCCAGACTGTATGCTCACATACTTTTTTCTATCACATACTCAATGCACCATTAAAACCCACCTTAATCTTTAATGGTCCTCGAGGGATGTGTCATGATGTTGGTCATAGGTCTTTTCATTAGTGGTTCCTCCTTCAAATAACCAGAAGGGACCAAAGGCTTTGGGATTTGCAGGAAGCTTCAGCAAGACAAGATTATTCATCATTCCAGCTAAGCATCTGCACCCACGATGACCGCCAGTCCTGTGCCATGTCCCCAGATTTTAAAAAGCCAACCATGAACTCCCAAGACAGCAGCCAGCTTTAAGTCCAGTTTCAATTTGGCTACCAGCTTTGAGTCCAGTTCCAATATGGCAGCCACTGTCAACAAGTGTCACTGCAGAATCTATGCTTTCAAGCTTCACTCCTTAGCTCTCAAGTATTGCTGAGCCCTTGCTTTTACTTTCAAGTGACACTGAGCCCCACCTTCAGTCTTTAGCCACCTGACAGTTCTCTCTTTACCTGTTCTGCTCCCCAGTATGGACCTGGCCCTCCATCCCTCCCCCTCCTGTTCCACCACTGTGCCTTACTTCTTGCAAAGACTATCTATATTATGGAGCATATAAAAGCTACCCCTTAAATCCCTGTGTTTTTACTGTGCCCCGCTCTTGTTGAACTCTCTGTCACCCCAGTTAGTAGACTTGGACTTTCATTGTCTCCCGCCCCTGGTTATTTCAATGGCCCTTAGTCTGCTGCTTGTAATGTAATGTAATGTGTGCATTTATGTAGAGCATTTTGTGTATGGCCATACACCCAAAGCGCTTCACAATCATGAGGTAAGGCCTGATGGAGGGAATTTGGCCAGGACACGGGCTTATAACCCTACTCTTTACAAGAAGTGCCATGGCATTTTTAATGACCACAGAGAATCAGGACTTTGGTTTAATGTCTCATCTGAAAGACATTTGTATATAAGCACTGCTTCTATTTCAGTCCTTGCTTCTCCATCGTTAAATTTTGCTCAGTTACCCTGTCCTTTTATTCCTTGCTGTGTATCATTTTGTTTTGTTTTAACTTTGCTTAATAAATGTTTCTAATTACATCTGTTTCCTCTTGCCTATGCATTGCCTGCAACAATGCCTTCACAATACCTCTCCCATGCAGAAGATGGCAGTAGTGTTCATATTTGAAATAGACTTCTACGGGTTAATAATGTTAGTTTAGACTGAGGATCAAGGGTTAAGGGTTGGGGAAAAAAGAAGAGTTAGCATTTTTGCACTAGATAATTTGGCTAGAATATTTTTTACATACCTGCCTGAAATCGGGTTGCTTACCGTAAACATACCATTAACAACCTGTTTCAATGCTTTATTCTGTCTTGAAGGAAGCCGATGTGACTAATCCAATAATCAAAAAAAAAAAAAAAAAAAAGAAAAGTTGATTGGCAAGTTAATTATGTCCTTTTCTTTTAGCTTTTTAATATTTTTTTTTACTTATGACAGTAAGTTATTAATAATTATTAAATAATAATTAATAATTTAAACACAATTAATTAATTATTATTGATTCATATTTTGAAACAAATGCACTAAAATATTTGTATTATATTTTTATTTGCATAATATAATTATAATATGAGTATTTAAAATGCAATATAAGAAAGCAAAGTCATATGAAACACAATTGCAGTCTATCCAAAATCATATGAAATGTTATCGTTCAGGTAAGATTAATTTAACAATATTGTGTCTCACTAAACAACAGAAATACAATCATATACACAGAAATTCAACACAAAAATATTACCTAATATAACCCTATAAACTGTACAACCTATATTATCTTATATACATAACTAACCTAATTTACATAATCTAAAGCAGGCTGTCTGTCCAATCACAAAGCTGTGGTCACACTTTTTCCCCCTTAGATTTCCATTCATATGCATGTGAATGCGTCCGACCGGAAACGTAAGGTCGTAGGGCAAGTTTCACTATTCGCTGCATTGGAAAGTTCAAGCTTGGTTGACTCTAACCTGCAAAATCGCATCACTTGATTGCGTGAGACCAATCGAGGATCAAAACATGATCTCTCTGGACAGAAATTTAAAACATGGACCAAACACTCACATTTTTGCAGCGCTGTATGACAGGGTTTCACAAGTTTAAACTCTAGTTTGAGCTCACCTTCAGGCTGACATCATGTGCCTCCATTGTAGGTTGACCACCCGTGCCACATTTTTCAGAAATTGGAGAGCTTTGTTCCACATCCTTTCTAAAGTCTGTGGGCGGACTCAGGTAAACTGAGGCTGTTTCTCAATATGCGTTCTTCAGCGGTCTTGCGTCCTTGTGTTCTAGTGTAACGTCATAATCAGCTGCCAAAGTTCAGTTCCAATACTCAAGACTGCAAGAAAATAGGGTGCTTGAAATTTCCTGGATGTGTTCTTGATATCGAGGATGCACTGATGTAGACTTGAGCACCGAACTCGCTCTGGAAGACCCAGAAGTCATTGCAACTGGAGGTGGGAAGCGCAGCATTTTATATAGGTTAATTATTAAAATTCAGAGATATCACTTATTTACCTCAGGAGTTTCCCTAAATGAAACAGTTAACATAAACATTACCATGAAAACCCTAATAAAGGCATAAACACATTAAGGGTGTTTATTTGCTAAAATTCATATTAAAATCAGTTTTATTTGTATTGTGCAACGTATATTTAAAAAGTCTTTATGCATAGAATATATTGTAAAAAGGGGAAAAACAATAAATCGTTGAATGAATGCTGTAATTTTTAAATAATTTTTGGTTACAAATGCATAAAGGTCATGTGACCATCAGGAAGAACGCAGCATCTCATTCCTCACAGGACGCGTTCTCTGTCCTCGCAGTCTCCCGAGTTTGTTCGTCCAAGGTGACCTAGCAAGACCGGTCTCCACAAGAACGCATGTCTGTTCTCTGCTTTCTTGGAATTGAGAAACAGCCTGATAGATTAGCCCAGACTAACGAGGGTCTACATCAGTAGTGCTCAACTCTGTTTCTGGAGATCTATCTTCCTACAGACTTCAATTGCAATCCGTATCAAACACACCTGTCTGTAATTATCAAGTGCTGTTCAGGGCCTAATTAATTGGTTCATGTGTGTTTGATCAGGGTTGGAGCTGAACTCTGAGGTAGATATCCCAGAACAAGGTTGAGCACCCCTGGCCTGCATAATAGAAAACACATCCTTAAAGCTGCCAGATTTAGCCAAAAATAAATCAAGGTAAATGTAATTATATCTACTAGTCTTTCATTCAGTTCATTATATGTATTTTGTATTTAGTCTGAATTGGTACCATGGGGTAAATCACATTGTATCACAGACATTCAAAGGTTAATTTTAGTATCTCAGAAGTAGCTTTGAAAGAAAATATGCCATATGACGTCTTATATGAGAATGGTCAGACTGACCGCTATGGTAATTCTAGTAGTTGTAGAATTGCGGTAGTTTCAATGTTAAACATGAACTGGACCAACAGACCATTTGAAGTATTGCCAGATCCATTGCCTTACTGAGTGTTTATTGCCTTGTTTGTTTGTTGCATACTATTTTTTGCATTATTCTCTGGATATTTGCCTTTTGGATAACCCTTTTGGGTTGTTTGTTGGTTGGACTGTTTATTGTGTTTTGGTTAATTTGCCCATGAACTCGACTTTGATATGTGCCTTACCATTTGGACGGTTTAAATGTTCTTTTCATTAAATTTTGGCAAATGAACATGGCTTCAGCTTCAAACCTCATTACACTTAGCAAGTTTGGTTCCTGTCACGGATTATTATTTTTTTTTAACAATTCAAGGGTGTTGTGTAAATCTGTATTTATGCAGTTTAATAGAACTAAATATACCCCCCTGCATTGCCCTACAAGTTCACATCTGCTGTCCTGCA